CCTCACAGGCTCTTCGTAAGATCAAGGTGGACTACTTGCGAAATGTGTCTCGATTTGTTTCCTCTTCAGGGTATTATGCACCGTTTAGTTTAAATGCGCTTTCCACCCCTATGGACTTCCACTTTCATGTGCCAGCAGACTGTGATCAAATCTGTACAAATACCCAAGGGAGCTATAGCTGTTCATGTGTCAGCGGGTATCAACTGTCTTCTGATGGAAAATCCTGCCTGGGTGAGTCCCTTGGTAAAACACTAGTAATAGTACGAGCTGTATGCTGTCGGTCAATAGTTTTCTATGCAAATACCCCAGGGAGCTATAGCTGTTAATGTATCAGCGGGTATCAACTGTCTTTGGATGGAGCATCCTGGCTGGGTGAGTCCCTTGGTAACACTAGTAATAGTAATAGCTGTATGTAGGTGGTTATTGGTATTCTGGGGCCCCAAGAACATGCACACGTATCCGGATATTTTTGAATCCGCAATTTTTTCTTTGCGGATTCGGTTTCCGTCCATACGTATCCGGGGAATCCGGCGTACGAATCCGAAACTTTTTTAATCCGCCTTCCAAAGTGAGTGGGATTTTTTGAATACTCTATGAATCCGGAATCGTGTGGACGCTAAATCCAGACATTTCTTTTATCCGATGACGTAACAAGATTGAGCCCAGTTCTTAACCGTGAATATTCAAGCACAAATTAAGTTATCGCTTCTTTGTTTCTTGGACTTTTTTTCCTGCCTTACAACGTGTATTCAGTTAAACCTAGCTATGATCACTGACACTTCAATTATGCCAAATGGCGACTCGACATTTTGACGCTTCTTTCCGTGTTGGACGGACGAATTGGACGTCATAAACAAAATAAACGAGCGACCAAGTGCATGGTGGAACAATTTTGTCAGCGAAACAGTTATTGAAGAATAATGGCGAGAAAATTATCGCACGAGCCGAAGCTGCCTCTTTCACTTCCTATATAGGGGCAACTGCTCAGGTTTCGCTGGACAAGTCCGAGCGATCTATTCGCCTTAATGACTTTGTTATTTACATGCTTGCTTCGATCGAAGTTTCTGGACAATTCTACGCCTAGGTTCCCATAGGGACGTAGTTAGACCTGACAGGAGTTTGCTTCTTCGATATTCGTAGGAGATGGCACTTGCTGGGGTTTAATTTCATTTGCCATTTCTGGGCCCATTCTTGAAGTGCTCTTAGATCTGACTGAAGTTAGGTGGCATCATTATAAGACTCAATAGTGCTGTAGATCAAAGTATCATCAGCAAACAGACGCATCCTTCCTCCTATACATTAAAATGTATAAAAAATGTATAAGAAAGAAACAAGAGGGGACCGAGGACTGTCCCCTGGGGGGCTCCTGATAAAACTGGCACTTCCGGGCAGTTGAACCCATCAACTACAACAGACTGGCTTCGACACGTAAACCATTGTGTTTGCTGTTAGCATTGTATCAAGACAATACTCAAAAAAAATTTATAGAAGGACATCTGTGAGCAAGGAATATATCAGCACAGAATTTAATTTCGGGGAATTTCTGTAGTCGTCTATTGTTTTGCTGGTGATAAGCTAGCCGCTGATTCACTCGTCTTGCCTGTTTGTGGACTGAGTGTTATTCCCCTAAAGAGAGAGAAAGATTGTCTGGCAAATTGCTTCCAATCAAAGATTTGTGAATGATAAACTCGTGTCTGGCAAAGTTAACTCTCCAAGGGTTTATATACACAATTATACGTGCCTGATAACTTCATCCGCGCTTAACGAGTGTCCTTAGGTCCATACTCTTTCAAAACAGCCGGCTCCACAACATCATGAAAGCAAGTGAAGATGAAAAGGTTCCCTTTACTTCTCTTAATGAAAGCTTTTAGGGTTGTACAATACTCTTCGATATAATAAAAAAGGGGGCAATTTCGAGAGATTCAAGACTTTTTTTGTGGAGTGGATGCATCCAATGCAAGGCAGAAATCCCTTCGTTTTTGCATGCGATCTGCTTTTCAATGGTACGGTAATTTCGAACAACCAGAAAGAAATCATGTCACTGTTTTCAATTTTCTCGAAATTAAGCTATTTTCTAGGCCAGAACAAGGGTGACAGGGATAACTTGTTACGGTCGTAACAAAATTTGTGAACTTACGCAACAGGACGGCACAGAGGACAGCAACACTTTTGTGTGAGTGACAAACGTGACAGGGCTATTACTTGCTAATTTTGTCCCATAATCTTAATTTTGCTTAGCATCACTGTTCTTGCCTTCTGCGAAAAGATTTGTCTTTAGGAAGGTGAAGTTTGGCCGAATTTTTTTTCAAACAAGTAAAAAATTATTGTCACGCTTGTCACCTAAGGTTTGCGGTCTCCGGCTTTCCTCCGTAGTCCTTTTGCGAAAGTTCACTCTTCACTACCAATTTCAATCAACCACAAACTACAAAGTAAAAGCAAACAGCTGATAACATTTTTGTTGTGCGAAGGGCCTAAAGTCTCGCTGATTTTTCAGACAATCGTTTTCTGTATAGGATAGAGACTAAACATCTATCACTGCACTAACTTTATAGATATTGACGAATGTTTAACAAACAATGGTGGCTGTAGTCATTACTGTTACAATATTCCTGGATCATTTTTCTGTGGATGCCCTGAGCGGACAACTATGGCATCCAACAATTTGACTTGTGTTGGTAAGTATGAGTTTTATAGCCTTCAAACTAGGGAATGTATACAATTACTGACTTGCAGTATGTTTTTAAAAAGATAGGGTCGAATGTGCTTTTTGACTAATCCTGGAATTTATAGACGAGCTTATGCTTCTTGTTCCTTTAAATATTAAGCAATGATGATCTCGAGAGTGCCTCTTGGTCGAGCCCTGTTTGAGATAATGGGATAAACGGCGTTTACCAGGAATCGGTTCCTACGTTTAAGTTTTTTTCTTTTTTTTTTCTTTTCTTCTCCTTTATAATCAAAGCATATAAAGCAGGGTAAACCTAGATTATCTAAGTAATAGATCTAAGTAAAGGTGAGTTTCTTTTTACAACGACTAAGAGGCATCGTTCCTCGCTTTCATGATCTACGAATCTACACTGAGTAATATATCCGGATGGCAGGAAAGGCAATCGACATATTAACCACAATCACATTCACTTATTTATTTTCAATGATAATAATAAGTGAATCCAGATCCTTGAATTGCAGGATAAAATGCACCTTAAATCTATGTAGTAATTTCAATTGACATAACATTAAAAATATATTTTCCCTGTCAAAACTGAAATTTTTGAACTGCCTAGTGTCTTATTATGTATTTCAGAACCTGGAGCTACAGTTACGTGCGACGAGAACAACATGACCGTTTCTTTAGAGAAGCAATCATTTCCATTTTTTGATGCCAACAACCTTCACTTACGCTATTCTTCCTGCAGGTACAGCCAGTATATGATGGCTCAAAAATTTAAAACACTTGCTGTCAACATAAATGAGTGATTTTAGTGTGTTATATCACGAGGGCCTTTTATTATTAATATGGCATTAGCCTTCAAACATTTTAGTCGTTAGGCGTAAAAATGCCAATTTTAAACCGTTAGTCGTGGAAAAGGTTAACCCGCAATTCCTTTTTTTATTCTTCAAAAAAAAGTCTGTTAATAATAAAAGGAAACCGTAACAACGAGTAAAGCAATTAACCCTACCGTAAAAAAGAAAATGTTAACAGTTGACCGTAAACGCCCCTACCCCATAACGAACAGTCACAGATCGGGAGTAGAGCCACTTGGAACTACTTTGAGTCCTTGAGTTCGCGAACTGTAAGATTGATTCTCCAGAAATCACCAGGAGTTTCTTATTGTTTTCTCAAGAAAATGAAGTTTAAAGCCCAACAGACTTATGCAACATTTCCTTTGTATTTTCTTTACGAATTAGTGATGAGTTGTTCTTTTTTTATTATGTTTTATTTGGTCTCTTTTAACTGCAGGGCCACCCAGAATTCAACCCACGTTTTAATCAGCACCACTTTGAATGCCTGTGGAACATTGGTAAATGAAACAGAGGATGCATTAATCTTCTGGAATGAAATCCGAGTAGATGCAGTGATTGTTGACAATGTCATCACCCGTACACACGATATCAATCTTCGATTTCACTGCAGCTATTCCAGAAAAAGGATACTAAGTATTCAATTTCAGCCGCAACAAATTTTCATTGGTTCAGAAGGTGCTTTTTCTCTTTCTTTTAATTACATTGCAACTCAGGTATTATATATCGCTGACCAACTATAATATGTCATGTAGATCTTATTCATAAGTCCCGACGAAGTCAATCGAACGTTCCGTAATCGAACTCAATCGAACGCCAATCTTTCGACTGACTTCGATTAGGTTCGGTAATTCGAACATAATCGAACTCAAAACTTGTTAACACTTACAGTGCACTTCTTGATAAGGTTAACTTAAGGCGGCAAGTATAATGCATGAAATTTCTTGTTTCTTTTCATATATTTCAGCAGTTAGATCAGCCTAGTTCTTGTTGTTATTAATCTTCCAGCTTCAGGATCGCCTGTTCAAATGGCTAAGAAAGTCCGTTTTAAAGTTTGCTTCCGCAAAGATTGGATGAGGTTTTTTAACTGCAGGGAACACCTTGAAATTAACACAGCCTATCAGTTTATTTGAAATAAAGACCCCTGCAGCCCAGTGAGCCCTATATGGCGTCTAGTTTTAATCAGTTGCCTTGGATTGATTTTGAAACCACGTATGATCTGCTTGTCTGATTGGATCACCAGACGTAGACGTATATTTTGGACAATACAAACGGGAAAACCCTAGTCACCACGCCACAAATATAAGAACAGCCTCTTTTATACACATAACAGGAAGTTTTTAAGATAGTTTACCCGGCGGTCGACCCATTCGCTTTCGCGAAAAGAGCAACAATTGAGCAGTAAATCGTTGCCAACCTCTATCGCAAGTGACTGTGTAAAACCAGTTATAGAGGAGGCTTTCCATTGTCCATCCATTCCTACATATAAACACTTTTTATTATTTTTTTTTAGCTGGATATGGGAACTTCACTTTCAGAATGGACTTTTATAGGACTGCTGCTTTTGCCACACCTTACACTGAAAACGACTACCCAATATCTATTCCTTTAAACGAGTTCCTTTATGTGAAGTACAGTGTGGAGTCTAGTGCTGACCTGGTGATAATGGCTGAAAACTGTAGGACCACCAAAACTGCATATTTCTACTCGTTGCCTCAATATAACCTAATACAGAATGGGTATGTTTAAAATATGTTTGAAGTACCGGAAAAGTAAAACGTTTGATCGAATACGTTTACATTAACACGTCTCTTCACAGCTCGATCCGGTCCTTCGCATAGTTAAAGACTTTCGTTATCGACCAATTTTATTAATGTGCTCTTGCAAATTTTTCACAGAAGTGAAAAGGTCAAAACCTTCATATATATCAATCATACAATGTTATTTACCGTTAATTAACTGTTCAAACTTCAAGTTTACAAAATTAAATTCGTCATCAAAAAAGGGGTTTCAAGCTTCTGTTGGTTTATATGTATACTGCATGGTCATTTGATCAGTAATGTAAAACGTTTTGCATGGATAAAAGGATAACTAGTCAGCTATAAGTCTTAGAGGGGATTTTATGGACTTTAAAACCGAACTTAGAATTATGGGTACAATGAAAGTCTTTAGTGGGGGGAGGGGGAGAGAGGAGAATATATAACTAAATATAGCGGGCTAACTCTAACATCGGGACGAGTTAATTTCATCCCTAGGTAGAATTTTTTTAAAAACTCATTTTTTAACGTGTGAGGTACAGAGACATCCATAGTATTTAAACTAAAATACATTTTTGTTTTATATTACCCCACTAGTTGCGAGCGAGATACAACAATGGAGTACACGTATAATCCCTCAGGGAGCTCTCAGCAGTTTAAAATTAGATCGTTCAGGTTCTTTAACGACTATGACGTTGTTTACTTCCACTGCGAGTTGTTGGCTTGTTACAGATACAGTTTTAATTCAAGGTATGTCTAGATAGCAGACCCTCTAGCTTGTGCTACAAGCCAGGGTTACTCCTATGCAAGGAATGTTAGACGGAATAATAAAATTAAACCCCTAACTGAGACCGATCTGGGTGTGGCTTCAAAGTATGACCCCGTTTCCTTTTGGTTTTGTTTATATTTCTTTACGCTCAACCTTACGTCATATCTTTATAGGGAAAATTGTTGGCTTTCTACCCGAGCATTTTAAACTATGATATCATAATAAGCAATTTCTATCCCTAAGTGAGACGACGAGAGCATCCGCTTACTTTTAAAGGGGGCTTCAGCGACCCCGGGGTGGTAAATAGGCGCAGTTCTACTTGAACCGCATACCACATTATTACACACTAAGTTCTTGCGATTTTCTGGTAGTATCACAAGCCTGATACACAGGCAACTTCATTTGCCCTGCATTGGTGGTTCATTACCTATAACAAAGTAAACCGAAGTAACATAGCTTGAAAAGACTGGATCTCCACTATGCTTTCCTCCATTCATCATTGTGCGCGAAATTTGCACGTTAACGAGGCCAAGCAAAAGCACATTAAGACGATCTGTAAGCCGGAAATTTTGTTTATAGATGCAACAGGGGTTGTTTAAGCAGTAAAAGAAGAAAGAGACGAGACGCAATTGAGGACGAAATAAAACATGAAGAAAGTACAAGAAAACATATTCTCTCCAGCGGCCCAATAATGATCGCGGAGACGGAGACGGAAAAACGTGACGAAGGAGGTACGTATAGAGTCTTCATAATAATGTTCACAATAAAACTGTGAAAGGTTTGAACCCAGGAGTCATTTCACAAGTAGGTTGAATATGATCATCCGCCGCGGGTCAATGTAGTCCTGGATAGGACTATTAATTGTTTGTTGTTACTACCGCACAGGTTGTCGAAACGTCAGTACTGTTCAGGACTACGTTCACCAGATATGAAAATCATACTCAACCTACTTATGATATGTTCACAATAATTTGTAAGTGAAAGAGGGAAGGTCGGCAACCAATTCCGCTGAATTCCAAGTTGCATCGCTTAGTGTCCTGGCTCTGAGTAGAAGCGAGGCTGGAAGTGACCTTGTTTTGTTACGAACCTTAACCTGCTATGTGCAAATCTCATATCGTAGCTTATCGTATTATTCTCATTCGAACAAGCCCGTGAAAACAGGAAGGTTTGTAACAATTCAAGGTCACCTTTAGCCTCGCTTCTTTTCAAAGGCCAGTGCACTGAGCACACAACTGTAAACTTCATTGAAGGTCTAAGGACGGTTGGTTATACAGGGGCACCCAACGAAGATATAGTTCAAAACCACTTAACATAGCATTGTTGAACGTATTTTAGTATTCAAACGGTAGATATAGGCATATTTTTATCCCCTAAAAACTTTTCATCTGTTCGGATTTCCTAGCTGAAAGTCTAGTGATCTAATGGGTAATTATACCATTTTGTAGATGTTCGAAAATCCTAGGAGAGGCAGGCAAGCAAGAAATTTTACAACAAATGTTCCGAAAATTCTAGGTCTCAAATCGTCCTCCGAACAGATATTTTCCGAAAATTACCGTTGGGTGCCCCTGGTTATAATTATGTCGGCTTCTGTACAGAGCCAGGATCAACCAATGCCCAATTTGAATTCTCATTTGTCGTCCCTATTTATTTCCTACAGAAGTGGTGGGGAGAAGTTAATAAAATATCATGCAATCATGATCATGTTCGGGGCTCATGACCACTCTTAGTATTTACAAAGCATTGATATTACAAGGAGAAATTTGATGATCACTCTTAAGGCTTAGCGTTATAGAGGATTATTGCACTAATTGTTTTAGCGGCCAGATAGCTGGACTTATTCAAGATAAAAGAACGATCTTTTTTTCCTAATTGTTGGAGTTCGATAGAGTCTAAAGGCAAATCAGGTTGATAGCTTTACGTTTTCTCATGAGAAACAACCGTTTTAGATCTAGAAGAGAATTATAATTATGTCGGGCTTTATTTAAGGAAGATTTAATTCTAACTTAAAAAAGTCCTTCAATGATAGTTTTTCCTTCTTTATTTACGGTTTTAAGACTTATCTAATTATCAAGATTTAATTTTTTCTCCGTGGACAGATACCGAAAAAAGCCAAGACCCTGCATTGATCATTGGTGCAGGAGCCGCTGGAGGATTTGCCCTGATTGTTATCATAGCCTTGGCTGTTTTAGCCGTTAAGTACCGCATTGCACGAAGATTCATGAACAGGAACAAGGTCGGAGACTTGTACACCACCCAAGATGAACAGATGAGTCGAAGAAATGCCTACATCCAAGAGGACGACATGATCGAAAGGGAAGACTCCTTCTAAAATGAATCCTTACGTTGAACACTTATCTCGTACCCAGATCCCTTCAAGTGATCTGGGTGTCAGTCACTGAAAATGCACTAGTATTTTTATAACTTTTTTAAGTGTCTTCTTGAACAATTAGTGATGTAATAGTCGATGAAACTAATTTTTTGATTGTTTTCACTTAATATGTCGAACGCTAGCGCCTATTCACGCTACTTTCCTAAGTACAGTCATTTTATTAACCTTCTTCAGAAGGGAACAGACCTAAAACGCTGACATATTCATACAAGATAGGCAGAAGTTGCCTATCTTGAAAGCCTTGAAAGTTGTCGAAGCTTCTTTCATCTTGCAGGTTACGTCAAAGTCGTTAGAGAAGCACGATTCACTGAAAATATGTATTTTAAGTTTTTATATGTTTCATCAAGCACTTTAAAATCTTAACTCACTCACTGAATGCGTGGATCGCGGCTGGCTAGGTAATATTAATTTTTACAACATTAATTAGAATCTGAATAACGCAGTAGAATGTCAAAAGCAGCAACTCCTGAACAGTTTAACCATTTAGCTTGCCAGATCGCAACAGTTACAGTCACTAAACGATACGAAAACGTTTTCGGTCAAGGTGAATGCTGCCTGCTTCTCCAGTATAGCTTTAAGTGTCAAGTTTATTTTCGTTACGCATTAGGCTTAAGTCGTGGCACTTTATTTTGTTTATTGTTGTCATGGTGATATCCATTTTACTAAAAACTGCATTTTGACAAACTTCAATTCATTATCCGTCAGTAGTGAAAATCTTATAGCGAACGGACAAGGAAAAAATCATGTTTAAGGTGATTGAAAAATAACGGTATGGCCGCAGAACAACAGTATGGAAACACCTTAAAAGGCATCGCAACGTCACTTTATTAACATTTAAACATTTGCATTAACTTTTATATTAATTACGTGTGAACTGCACATGATTATGGTACAATAGTTTTTAACTGGACGCCTGTGTTTACACTGTTTGATCGATGCTGTTATTTTCAGTGCTCCGAAGTCAGTAGTTGCATGATTACAGTAGCTGATAAGAGCCTTGAAAGGCCAATAAAAAGTTATCACTGATCTACAGTTCTGGTACTAAGTGTGATACCCAAAGCAGGTTTGTTTGGGACTACTTCACTCAAGATCTCTGCACAGGGGGGTCACGATTGCGTGACCGTACGCGTCGGTATGTTTTAGTTTCTTAGAGGAAATGTAGGGAAATATCGAAAAGGTTCTCATTATCGTTACATACTGTTATGTACTGCCATGAATGCCCACATACAGACCAGTACAAATGCTGTGTATTGCCACGGTCATTTTCGCAACTGAAAAAGGGCGACGGAATTTTTAACTGGTGTGCGTTTGACGTTCAAGTATAAGCAGAGGTACAAACATCGAGCCCAATACCCTTGAAATCACTTTTTTGAACTGCCAAAATGACAAAACAAGGCATTTCAGGTTAACAAAAAAGTTCCACGGGCTGAGCCTGAGGTGTGTGTTTGAGGTCTGCCCAGCGGAAATACGACTTTTCCAGACCAATCCCTTAAAATAATTTATACGCGTGCATGTCGTAAGGGGTGTGTACTAAATTCAGCTTCGTTTAAGACAAGACGCGCGCAATCATTTCATTGAAACTGTTAATAAGTATTTTAAACGCTAAAAGCTGATAAGTTTATTTGAATAACAAAGAAAGCGTACAAACAGTCCAATAAAAATATTACTAAGTGCAACCTCACGATAATAAGAGCGCTCTTTATTACTTGGAAATTCTATTTTGTAGAAAATGATTCCGCGTGTACTAAAATACGGACTGGAATAAGATTAAGAATCACGACCAATGCAAACGGCAAGCGTCAATTTGTATCACGTGACCGAGTTTCACTTATCATATCGTTGCTTCGTGTTCATCAAATACATATTTATTCATACATGTAATCCATAATTCTTTTGCGCAGTTTATGACTGCTCATTTCTTAACCTGACAAAAATTTCTTTACCAACTTGAACGTGATTCACAATCTACTCCAATAGAAAAAATATATATATTAGTTAGCACATGGTGCAAACACTATGATTCTCCCAATATGAGATACATTTGCAAAATACCTACGTTAAAAATATAACAAAGTGTACATTCATTGATTAAAAGGAAGTACAAATTGCTTTGAACCGATTATTCTAAAATGCAAATAAGCAAAAGAGTGCAGTACACAAATAGAATTAAAACTACCATTGATACAAAAACAAAAAAGTACGTTAGTGTAAAGATTGGGTGATCCAAAAGCGAAGCACAAAATAGATGCCAGTTCCCCGGCCGACAGGGCCCCTGAATACAATAATTGTCTGGGGCAAGCTAAAGAGGCGTACAATAAAAAGAAGTGTCTACGAAAGACCTAATTTATAGGAATGTGCTATTCAATTGTAACCACTATCTACGCTGCAGTTGTCCCTTTCGTAAACGGGCATCGACCGCTAAAAATGGCAACGACCGTTTACGAGAGAGAAATAGGCTACGCCGCTATTTTACGAATAAAGATTATTACTTGCACAACAATACTGTAAAAATTCACATATAAGAACCTAGAAGTTTTGAGGTTATGCTGAACAGGTGGCAGTTTTTCACAATTCTGCAGATGAGGTTTTTAGAATATATTAGGTTCTTATTTTTCAGAGGTTGTCGTAGTGTAATTATTGGCAAAAGTATTGTACTACTACTACGTAATGGTTTATGGAAAACATATTTCTAGTGAAAATCCAAACAAATGTAAATCAAAGAAAACATATACACAATAAATTTGGCAGAAGTTTCACACATAATTAAAATCCAGAATTTTGACCATCATTTGTCAGTTATAAGAACCTATTCTTCTTTGCCAGCTAGGCTGAACAGGTTTTTATACTGATTTTTGGAAGCCTGCGTAGCAGGCGCTTGGAAGTAGTGGGCACAAGAAAAAACGTGCGAGCGAGAAGGAGACACGCGTGTCTCCCTCGCGAACGCCCGCTCTCTCTTTCACCCACTACTTCCAAGCGCCTGCTATGCAGGCTAGTCATAGGTTTCGCTAAGACTACCCTAAAGTTATAAGACTTACCTCAGACAAAACCTTCGTCTTTCCCATCACAAAGTTGAAAATATTCGACCGCGCCTTTAAACAGTAAGAGGACAATGATCATGCTCGGGAAAATTGTAAATGTCCAAAGGATTTTTGACAGAGTTCATTCTACAGTAGAACTCCGGTAACTCGAACTCTGAAAGCAAACGAAAAAAGTTCGAGTTAGCGAGGGTTCGAGTTATCGGGGTCGGTTGCAAAATTAAATTTTCATTGTTAAAAATTGATAGTTACTGATTTTTCAGCACTGCTGTTTATAATGCCCCTGCAGTGCAAGTTTAACTTATTTTATCTGAAACGGTAACATGATTTAGGCATTTTTTTTTACTAAAAAACCTCAGCTGAAACGTGATCTGTTCGTTACACCACTAAATTAAAATTTCCGTAAGTGTTAACCAGTGTATTGTAGATTAAGTGTTTTCACTGATTACACAACAAAAAGAGCTAATATAATGGAATGGCATCCGAGTAGAGTTACAAGAACCAGTATACGAGTTAGCGGGTAATTTTCAGTGACTTTTTGATCAAGGGAAAGGAAATTGAGTTTGAGTTAGCAGAGAATTCGAGTTATTAGAGTTAAAGTTAACCAAGTAAAAATGACTGAAAAGTGGGGCGAAATTCAAGGGACTTTCGAGTTATCCGCGAGTTCGAGTTATCGGGGTTCTACTACTGTTACAATATTTCCATACCAAAAAGAAGGCTATATTAATGACATTTTGCTACCTTCTTAGGTGGATATGGGAATTTCACTTTCAAAATGGACTTTTACAAAACTGCAGCATTTGCAACTCCCTATGCGGAGAACGACCACCCTATATTGGTCGCGTTAAACGAGTATCTTTACGTGAAGTACAGTGTGGACTCCAGCCCCAACGTGGTGATCATGGCCGAAAACTGCAAAGCCACAAGAGATGGAAGTTTATACTCCTGGCCTTATTATACCATTATACAGAATGGGTGAGTATAACATATATGTCTAGGATTTGGGTCACAAGTCTTCCCTCATCTTCCACAGGGGAAGTTGAGCGAGCGAAATACGTGAGCGCTTGTGAAAATTGCCACACGCGGGAGAAGCGAGACGCGTTGCACCTGCCTTGCGGTTGGTGATTTTCACGCGCTCTCGCATATTTCGCTCGCTCTTATCCTCACTAAGGAAGTACCTGTGGTCTATTTCCGTATCGTCTTCGTGTTGATCCTTAAGCACGATTTACGTCGTTTTTCCAAGTATCTGATCCTCCATGATTGCGGGCTTCATTTTCCGCAACAGCGACTGGAAATCGAGCCTCCTTAATCCTTTACGGGGCTCAGAAGTTTGATATCGTCATGATCATTCGCAACTGCTATAGTAACATAAATTGTACTTCTGCGCTGAACTCGACGAGCCTTTGCGACGGAGTTAATCTTCATCCTTGAGTAGAGTTTATACTCTTGATGGGGGATAAGATTGGGAGGAGGAGAGCCCAGAAAAATCCATAGCATTAAAACTAAAATACGTTTATTTTTAATTTACATTTTACACTATTTGCGAGCAAGATACAACTATGGAGTACACGTATAATCCATCAGCGAGCTCCCAGCAGCTTAAAATTAGATCGTTCAGGTTCTTCAACGACTATGACGTTGTTTACTTTCACTGCGAGTTGTTGGCTTTTTACAGAGGCAGTTCTAATTCCAGGTAAGTCTATTGTAAACCCTTCATGTTATACCGAAGAAGAGGCAGTTCTAAAACCGCGGAAAACCGAATAAAACTCTACTGTAATTCCATTCTCGTTTTGTATTGCAATGTTCTGGCTGTATTTAGCATCTTAAAGGTCATAAGCTTGGTAAACAGGCAACTGTAATGACAAGGCCGTTATTACCTAGAAGTTATAAAAAAAAGAACGAACGAACATATCTTGAAAAGACAGGATCTCCACTCTCTAAAGGACGGATAGTTTGGGGGTAGCAAAATTTTGAGGGTTTATGGCAGATGTACAAGTGGCGAGTATGCATAGATGTGACTGAAGCTGAAAAAAGAATTCGATGATTTTTAAACCGAAGGTTTTGTTTATAGATGCAGCAGGGGTTGTTTGAGCAGCAAAAGAAGAAAGAGACGAGGCGCAGTTGAGGACGAAATAGAACATGAAGAAAGTACAAGCACACATATTCTCTCCAGCGACCCAATAATGATCAAGGAGACGGAGACGGAGACGGAAAAATGTGATGAAGAAGGTATTACGTATAGACCACTTAATATGTTGAGAGTAGTTTTACTGAGTTTGACCGCAAATTCCATGCAATTTTCCCATTAGCCCACTTTATTGTTGTAGCTGGAACCTAGGCTAGAGTTGACAGTCAGGAGTGCCTTTTTGCGATCATTATACGTTTCTGGGAATCTGCCCACATACCGCCTCCTCTAAACCAACATTTTGCCCTTAGGGAGAATTAAGTAAGTGTTGATAGGGCCATTTATACGAGGAAAAATAAGACGCGTCTTAAATAAGACGCGAACTGTACCATTTATACGAGCATGTCTTATCTAAGACGAGAACAGCTCGTAGGAATGGTGCGCGTCTTATTTCTGTTCTTGACTCGTTTTCATGTGAATGTTGCCCTTAGCAACGGCAATCCAACGTGGCGCGCCAAAAATTAACGCATGCGTACTATACGTTCGCCTCTTATGTGAGACGCGAAGGTCATTTATACGAAGTTTTTCTCGTCTTAGCTAAGACGCTTCTTATTTAAGAACAGGTGTTAAGGGCTGTTCTAAAATAAGACCCGTCTTAGCTAAGCCGCGTCTTATTTAAGACGAAATGTGCCGTTTATACGGAAAGTTCGCTTCTTATTTAAGACGCGTCCTATGTAAGACGTGTCTTATTTTTCCTCGTATAAATGGCCCTAATGTTGGTGTAGGGGAGGGGTAGGTGGGTAGTTTCCCAAAAACGTATATAGATCCTAAATTTACATAGCTGCTGGTCACCTGGGCCCAGTTCTTCGAATGACGATCAGCGCTTAACCTAGGATTAAATTTAACCCGGGTTTCTTTTTCTTTCGTTCTACATTTTCTCGGACAATTTTCTCTGTTATGTTTAAGAGCATCCAATCTAGACTTGCCGACAAAAAGAATTAAACTGAATTGACTTTTTAAGCCTTAATATCTGAATTCAAATTTGGCACCGATGTTATCTTAACCAGCGTTGAACAATCCGGCCATGATAAAAACACTCTATAGTTTTTCTTTTTCTTTCATATTGGTTTTAGACTTATCTAATAATCGAAGTCTATGGTTCCTTTGGGGTAGATACTGGAAAAATCCAACAAACTGCTTTGATTGGTGGTGCAGCGGCCGCGTGAGGACTGGTCCTGATTGCTATCATAGCCTTGGCTGTTTTAGCTGTTAAGTACCGCATTGCACGAAGATTCATGAACAGGAACAAGGTCGGGGACTTGTACGCTACCCAAGATGAACAGATGAGTCGACAAAATGCCTACATCCAAGAAGATGACATGATCGAAAAGGAAGACTCCTTTTAAACTGAATCCTTACGTTGGACACTTATCTCGTACCCAGAACCCTTGTCGACAAGACATCTGGGTTAAATTAAACACGCATGCGCCTTATAACTTTACAACTCATTGAAGTGTATTCTTCAAGAATAATTGGCGTAATAGTCGATGTAACTGATTCTTTGATAGTCACGTAACGTGACAAACGCTAGCGCATATGCGCGCTAGTTTCCATAGTACATCAGGCTAATTAACTTCCTCCTGAATACGATCAAGAAAGGGAGCAGAGTTAAGTGTCCGCAAATTGCGCCCACACATCCTAATAAGAGACACAGAAGTTTTAAGAAGGCCACTAGATTTAGTATGTTCACCTGTATACACGACGTGATCTCAACAGAATTAGAAAGGAAACCATTTAAAAAACGATTAGTTTGGTTGACGAGTTAATTCATGCTGGGACGGAGCCGTGGATGCGCAAACATTAGTCAGATCTTTACAGTATTTTCAAACATAGCAAATCACATCCTATGATTAAAACGGTTTAAAAGAACACGTCCAGAAATAAAATTACAACCCCTTGTGGGTAGAGCTTTATTTGCTTCTGTCAACTCACCGTGAATGAGAAAGTGTTTTTTTTTTTTTGGTCGCTTCTTGAAAAAACTGTCAACAGCGGGTACTATCGAGGTGAGCGTTGTTTATCTGTATTGTCCTTTGCCTTATTAACTTGCTGGCACGTACAGTTTTTCCAAAATATTTGCTGTCCTTTTTTTCCCGTAAATTGACTTCTGTTTCTATGCAAATTTTGTCTTTCGAGGAAATCCCGAGTTCACAAAACAGTGACACAACGGCCTTGTTCTCCCCTGCAGTGGTAAAGATTTATTCGAGCCTATAAAAGTAAAGTCAGCTACCGTAAAATCATGCTGTTTAAACACCATCAGCCTTGAGAAGTCTTTTCTTACCTTCGACACTAGGAACAGGGGGGCATTTTGCATGCGCATGCGTGAATCCACTGAACGACAATAGCGTGGGCGCATCAAATCTGATGGCGGGAAATCGAAAACCCTCCTCATAAAGTTACAGTCCTTTTAAAAGCCATTTCGTTGGTGCTTTGAATACCGTACTTTCCAACAAAAAATATTCTCCATGACAAAAATCGGACGTTTTCTACGCGGGTTTTCACTAGTAGATTTTTCAGCAATAGGTTTTCTTGGCCTTTTATAGACTTACAATACTCAACGCCAAAAAGTCATGTTCCTGTATATGTCTGATTTTCACTGGCAAAGCAATGCATTTCTATGGTTTGATTTCCAAACTCGTGGTTTTACTTATCAGGGAGGAAATGCATCGTAGCAATGTTCAGCTGCTTTAAGACAAAAAGGGGAAATAAAATTTACCACGCGAGGTTTATTTATTAGCATGATGTCTCATGTTAAACTGATCGCGGAGACACGTGTTTATATATGCCACAAAAACATGAAATCTATGGGGTTTTTACAGTTTTTCGAAAGTTTTCGCGGAAAAATTTATAACAAATATTCTAATGGAAATGAAGAATGGATTGAGTTTGAGACAGCAACAATTACAAGTGATAATGTGCTACATAATTTCATGGGCATTTCATAAGCTCAGTTGCAGACAAAACGAATGCACATACTCCGAAAAAACGAACAGTACTTTTATTTTTCTTTAACTCTAAAAGATACAGAGATTTTGCGACTCAAACGACTCTTGAGTAACACTGCTCCTGTGTTCCACAATCGATTTCTTGTTATTAATTTATATTTGATGACAGTAGTGATCCATTCAAAACAGAGAATGGCCATCACTCCATAAATCTAACTGACGATGTTGTTCACCTTCAAAGCCTGTTTAAACATAAAACAGGAAGTTTGTTAAAGGAGTGCATATAATGCTGTTTCCTCAAAAAATAAATGCTTCTGCTAAAGGACCCAAGTGAGCTGGGATGCGACAACAAACACGACACAAATGGATGGATGAATTTGTCTGTTAATGTTTCTGTTGAGAGCTTTTTACTGTATTCAGATGAACCCCTTATGTAAGTTGTACATCATGGAAGAATTATCAAGCAGAGACTGATGCATTAAACAAGAATGTGGTTCAATACAGAGGAGAAGATGGTCTCAGTCAACATCCTTCGTGAATGAAATGTCTCACAAATTACAGCATATCAACAAATGTAGTATCCACAAAATGGTATCATTTAGGAATAAATGCGATTTTTTTGCAACAGAAGCCAGGATTTATTTAAAAGGTGTATTGATAACGTTTCATTTCGTGCTATTTTGGGGTTGGGGAGTTAGGCTAGATTTTCTTTAAAACGCCAAAATGTTATATTTATTTGCATAATGAAATGTAAACAAACAGTGTACCATCAAAATAAGGTGGAAAAAATCAGAATTCAAAGTGATTACTGTAATTTTTTTCCTTTGTATAACTAAATGAGATAATACTCTTATATAAGTCAAAACACAATCTTACTGGTATCATTACATTGATTTAAATTTATAGTTGAAGTGCGTGTATTTTATTTCTCAACGAAGACGTACCGGAGAAGATAGCTAAAATTACTGCAGAAGGCGATCTTTCACAGCCTTCAACAAAGCGCCATTCATTCGCGGAAGTATTCTTAGTTTCGTTAATCATTAACTTAATCTGGGGAGAAAGGCAAGATTTCGAGATAAACAAGCAAGAGAAAGGGTAAAAAACAGTTTCACCGCAGAATGGACACTTAATTTACCACTGTATTCAGGGGCGTAGCCAGGATTTTTCAAAGGGGGGGGTCACCATCCGGGNCCCCCCCCCCCCCCCCCCCCCCCCCTTAGCTACGCCCCTGGTATTCCTGAAACGATTAAGTTCGATTTTAGAGTTATACCATTGAGAAGAATTAAGTATCTATAGGATAATTGTTTAAGGAATAACTATCATACTGACCTTTTCCTCCTGCTCAAAAAATGCGCGCAAAATGTTAGCCGCCATCTTGTCTTCAATGTACTGTTTTACGAAAGGAAAGACTGTCCTCTCAAGGGCAACAGCGAGGCTACAATAAACTCACTTTCATCGTAGAAATACCTCGATACCTTAAAGAACATGTTTGTGGAACGTAGCACCCAATACACGTCACTCAGCTCCAGAAAACAGACTGCAAATGCTGGTACTGAACGTAAACAATTCTCAGAAAATGCCTCTGTGGCACTTCAACAGCCCATATTGACGCATGCGCAGACAAAATGCCCTCCTGTTCCCTTGACACTAGGATGTTCATTTATGTTCAAAAAGTTCTAACTCTGAAACTTTGACAAAACACCACAATTTTGTTTTGCTTTATATTGATTCACCGTCTAGCACGTTAAATATAACGCCAGAGTCCGAGAAAACAAACCAATGACACTGATTGCCGGCTTTAATCGCCAAGATCACTGAGTGTGTATACAGTCGAACCTTCCGTAAGCGACCACCCAAAATACAAAGACTTAGTCGCTTACGGGAGGTGGTCGCTTATAAGAATCGAACCGCTTGAGGCCTCTTCCGAGAAGAGGTCCGGGCACATCTACTTTATGGAAGATAATTTATTGCACGCAATTTCTAAGTTACGCCATGTCTACTTCCACGTTGTCACTAAATTTATTCGTATATTCAAAGTAGCTCAGTGCACACAGCGAACATAGAGGTCGGAGAAAGCGTCAAGTGGTCGCTTACAAGAGGTTAAAAACAATAGAAAATCAGTAAGCTTTCAGGCGCAAAAAGTGGTCGCTGACGCTTACAGGAGGTGGTCGTTTACTAGAGGTTCCAACTGTAAGGCTTTGACTGGGAAAGTTTTTGTGTTTTGGATAAGTGGTCGCTTATGGGAGGTGATCACTTACAAGAGGTGGTCGCACATGGATGTGCGAATGTATACTAAGATTGTGTAATTTACTTGTCTGAATGTGAGAGTCAACAACGTGCTATAAGACATCCCTACTTGTTTCTTCAAACAACATTGGTCAGTTACTTGACAGCTTTTTATCCCCGATATTCTTCAAGACTACGGTAGTCGACATTAAACGATTTAGACTGATATAACTGTTGTGGATTGACGTTTTACAAAGATAAAATAGGCCAAGGGACCTTAATGATATTTTTGTCTTTTAAACTATTTTAAATTTCACACATAGAAAAATATTTTCATGTTGATCACGCAAGGAAGACGTGCGTTACGGCATATCCAAACCTTGTTACGAAATCACAAAGCCGCAAAATCACGTGATTTCTAAGAAAAACAAATCACATGTTTTTTACTGGAAACGAAGTGTTGGCGTTTTAGAATGCGGTCGTCTCCAAATAAATAGGGAACTTAAGAACCACGACGAAGTTCACGACGACGACGTCTGTTGACTGGGAAAGGACTGGAACGAGAACGTCAGTTTCGGCGGGAAAAAGAAAACTTAAGATGCAGTCGATCGGTAGGTCGACGACGACGAGACTGAATGTAAACAAACACGTAGAAGTAGTACAACTGTGATGTTCGTTCGCAACAAAGTNCTTACAAGAGGTGGTCGCACATGGATGTGCGAATGTATACTAAGATTGTGTAATTTACTTGTCTGAATGTGAGAGTCAACAACGTGCTATAAGACATCCCTACTTGTTTCTTCAAACAACATTGGTCAGTTACTTGACAGCTTTTTATCCCCGATATTCTTCAAGACTACGGTAGTCGACATTAAACGATTTAGACTGATATAACTGTTGTGGATTGACGTTTTACAAAGATAAAATAGGCCAAGGGACCTTAATGATATTTTTGTCTTTTAAACTATTTTAAATTTCACACATAGAAAAATATTTTCATGTTGATCACGCAAGGAAGACGTGCGTTACGGCATATCCAAACCTTGTTACGAAATCACAAAGCCGCAAAATCACGTGATTTCTAAGAAAAACAAATCACATGTTTTTTACTGGAAACGAAGTGTTGGCGTTTTAGAATGCGGTCGTCTCCAAATAAATAGGGAACTTAAGAACCACGA